ACAGATATAGAGCAGCTCTGCTGGCCAATACACGACAAACACATGAGAACAGTGACAAGGAAAATAGGAACACGGCTTGTTTTTACTTCCTACACTAAAGGTACATCTTTTTGTCAGCAATGCAAAAAATGTCCCTTCAACAGTGACATTCTCCTCTTATTCCTTCATATCCACATACAGTATCAGAAGGTGGGTGGAAGAACAGGCAGGAACACAGAAAAAAACAAGTCACATTGTGTAACTTTTTCTTTCATGTAAGGTGTCCTAGAACATGTACAGAACCACTCATATGGCACATTAATAGCCTGCCAAAAAATAACAACATTAAAGTATGCCTGGCTGAAACATGTACAGTAGTGATAGCTTGCAGTTATATACATAAACTCCATTTCAATCCATCTGTTATCTATAAGTGCTCATCCTTTGGGCTGGAGCCAATCCCAGCTGACACTGTGTGAGAGGTGGGGCAGCCCTCGGAAACGACGCCAATTCATCACCGGGCTGACACACAGAGACAAACAAGCATTCACACCTACGGAAAAACTGGTTTAATTAGGCACCAATTAACCGGTGTGTGTCTTTGGACCGTGGGAGGACACCCGTGCAGACACATGCAAAGTCTACAGCAATATAGGTCATTTAAGTAACTTCCTCCTTTAAAACACAACTATTGATGAAGTGCGCTTGTTCAGAAAACGGGTAGTGGTTTAATTCAAAATGGTAACCATGGCAACCAGGCAGCCAATCAATGTCATTCGCAATTGTCTGCCTTAAACTCATCTCACTGACTGTGGCTAAAGCATTCTGTTTTTCTGTCTTCAGAATCAGAATCAGAAATACTTCTTGGTCTTGGACTAGGTGAAGGCGGCCTTGACCACAGCGCCGCACAATGGACCTTTAAACTGTCCCTCAGAGTAAGTTTTCTAATTGTTCTGTGCAGCTCCTCTGTTGTCAGTGTGTGTGTGTGTGTGTGTAAAAGAACAAACCTGCTCATTCAACATACGCAGAGGTTAAAGAATGCCCCTGTAGCTGTTACTGCCTGTCAGATGTGGTGTTGCCGGGTTATTGATCAAGAGAAACGAGGACTGAAGGTTGCATCCTGCCCAACTGTGTGTTTATTTAGCCTACAGTGAGGAGGAGAGGATGTCCTCCGAATGCCAATTAAGCCGGTGATGGTCAGATCATTGTCACGCCGCTCTGATGACTGGCAGGCCTGACAGGCTGGCTGAGCGGTGCATGTGGTTGCTTTAATTAATTGCCAGCGGCTCGGCTACACGTGGGCGGACGGAGCGAATATGGATGTCGACGGAGAGCAGAACTCATGCTTCAGATAATTCCTTGTGAAACAAAGGGTGAGAAATTGAGGCAGATTAAAGCTTCGCTGCTCGCTGACAGAATGAAGCGAATGTGTGTTTTTTTTCTTTCTTTTTGTTCCACACGATTGATCTCAGAAGAACAATTTGTTGGTTTCTGCTGAGCAGTTTGTGAGCAAGGAACAAAATGTACAGCATTTATCTGAGGGTAAGCTAAAGGTTAGCGTTACTCTCCCTGGAAAAGTGTCAACAACAAACACACACCAGTGGATTTGAACCAGCGGGTCGCTGCAGCAATGCAGATTTAAGCAACAAAAGTCAGCATTAGCATTTCAGAGGCCTATCTATTTTCATCAGCTCAATCTTGTATAAGATTTCCCAAACTCCCCCTGGAGCCTGAAGCAGTATCAGGCATTTTACGGGCTCCAGGGGTGGCTTGCCATTTCAGAGCCTTGATGCATCACAAATTTAAATTCATTATCCTCCATAATTAAAGCAAATATATCAAAGGCTGCTTACACTGCAGCGATACTGTCAGTGAACTCCAGAGGGACCGAGGCTCAGGCCTGCAGCCCAGGTGGCTTCTAAGATATTAACACACACACATATATACACTATATATAAATATAGCATCTTGTTAAATGCATCCTCAGGGTTCCCTTTTAATAATTTAACCCAAAACTGAGAGCCAGCGCAGTCGTCTTCCTGCAAAATGTAATTGCCACTACTTTTAATTATACTCTGGTCACCACATTTAATTATAGTGTTCAAGTCTGATGGCGGTGAAATCATTTTTAGAGCAAATCAGAGCTCCTTCACCGACAGAAGATCTTTATAATGCTCCTGTAATGCTCTCAGAGGAACAGCAGGAGTGTGTCTGTGGTTCCACAGAGAATGAATACTGACTTTATTATAATGTTTTTATCTCCTTTGAGGAATTGGGAATATTCTACTCTTGTCTAGTCTATTATATTAAATGGCGTTCTTTTTTATTTTACTAGCCAAGTGCTTCATCTCTTGAACAAAGGCTTTATAGGCTACACCTCAAGACCGAAATGCATTGTCTACGGTTGAGTGATAATCAGTCCAAATAAGGGAACTCTGTCCTAACTTGACTTATCACAGAGGAAATATGTTAACATTTCTTTAGAGAGCTGTCTGAGTGGCTGCACGTTGCAAAAAATATCAATCTTAAAAGGTCATTGGTGCTTAAATTAGATTTTTCGATCCCAATTGTTGCTAGCAACGTGATGCTACATGGCATTTCATCTGATGTTCTTTAGAGGAGGTTTGAGTTTCTGCTTTGAGTGAAAATGTTTTTATCTCTGATATTTGTTCCAAATGCTATTACTTCCTGCATACTAGGGGATGCTTTAGGGAAGTCAGAGTAGAAATCTTGCTTCTTAAATGTATGTATGCAGCAACCTCCTATACTGCCATGTTCCAGATCCTCAAAGGTCTGAAAGTTCAGTGGAAATAAGTGCATTTACTTCGTTCTACAGAATATTTTACTTTTTTTTAGGGTAAATGGCTTTAAATCTGCACGATGCAATATGTTTAGCAAATTGTAGTTTATATTCTTTTTGATAAAGTCATACGACAGTATACAAATACAATGACACAAACCTCATTTTATGGACATATATTATGAAAACAGAGAGGAAGATAAGCAGAACTCTCTCTATGGTCCAGACTCTATGAGACCTGGGCTTCATCTGCACATGAGGGTTCATGAAAGACCTCTAAGATTATATAATATGCTTGATATAATGCATTAAATGTGTTTGAAATTGATCATAATTTCTATATAATGCAACTGAGGGTCATCTTTTGCTCTTGAAATAGAATAAACACTCAAATTTAAATGACAACTTAACAGACAGTCAGGCACTTTGGTGGCTGAAAGGACATTTTGTCTGACGAGGGGGGGCAGACTATTGTCAGTTGGGTCACCAATTAGGTACACAGGTGACAAGAAAGGCAGTTGAGTAACCTGAAGGGCATTTAGGTGGATCAGAGGGACACTTAGAGCAATCAGAGAGGCGTTTAGCATCAAGATAGGCACCTGAGGGCCTCAGCAGGGGCATTTGAGCACACAAAACCCCCCACAATAGGGCATTTGGGCTGACCACAGGGGGGCATATGGGCTGAAAAGAGGGACACTTTGATCAATGAAAAGTGAGAGTTAGGTAACAATAAGGCACCTCAGAGGGGACATTTGGGCAACCACAGTCTCTTTTACATAAGGGCAAAAAGTGTCTCATGAGGGCACAAAGAGGACAGGCTGTGTGCCCCCTCTGTGCGCGCCTCTGTCCCGACTTTAAAACTGTGCCCAGAGACCACAGCAACCGTGTCAGGATGGACACTTCTTGCAGTGCAGTCGGAGCCACGAAAAGCCAGCGGAGCGCAGCAGCGGTGCAGCAGGACTCCTGTCTGCCTGCTCCCGGGGGCTGCACACCGGCGGCCACCCCACCCCCACCCCTCACCCCTGTGGCGACGCGGTTCCACTGCACCTGAACGAGCCGTGTAACGCCGTGTCCTCCTCACAGTGAGAGGGCGTACCGCGCTCCGAGAGGGGGAGGCTGAGCCAGCGCAGAGTGGAGCAAGTGGGAGGCTTTTTCTCTCTCCTTCTGGTGTGTTTGTCGCTGTTGCTTTTGAAACCGACTCAGAAGAAGAAAAAAGAAGAACAGAACGCGAGGCAGGCCGCGCAGCCACTGGAACAAGCGAAGCGCGCGTCAGACACATTTGCGCACGCCGCCGCTGGCCCGATTAAAGCGTACGGAGGAGCGAGACAGACAGCCCCAGGAGAGATGAATGAAGGGAGAGAGACTGCTGCTGTGGATCCGACAGGAACTAACAAAAGGTGAGCGTTAGATGGCCTTCTGTAAAAATGGTATTTGATTGTAATGAGTCTGCTGAAAAGCTAGAGCTGTTGAGAACGCAACAAGTTATTTCGGAGGAGGATTGCTTTTTGGGGGTTTTCTTTGTTTTGTTTGAATAAAGGCAGCATCTGCCTCTTTTTGCTTTGTGTCTGCCGACACTTTTGGGTACTGCCGCAGTGCTTGGTTGTAATTCAGGTGCACTTGATGACTTGAATATTTGATTTAGTTTTATTCCCCTCTTTTTCTTACCTGGGCCACTCTGTAGCTCAGTGTTTCTTTACAGTGGTGCAGTGGTGACAGCATTTGTATTGCTGTTGTCTGGAGTGCAATATGCCGCTTTTCTTGTTTCACTTCAGACACAGTCAGTTTTAATATGTGTGCATTGGGTGTGTAGTGATTGG